TAAAACGGATCATTCGCAAAAGAAAATATAATATTTTAACTTTTTTTTACTGAGGAGAACAAACGAAATTAAAGAAATAACGCCAAAAATGTGTATTTTCAAAACTAAAATAAAACATTTTAGAATATGTTCCCAACGAATTGTAGTGCGATATAATTTTCAACAAGTAAAATAAAACTATACACTTTTAAAATAAAAACGTTAATTTATTTTCAGTCAATTAAGTATGAAAAATATTAAAAACTAAAATGTTTTGCATTACAATTTAAAAAGCTACCTAGCTAAAATGAAAAACAGTTCATATGTCGCATCATTTGTCGAAAAAATTTTGTTCAGATAAATACATAAGTTACTTCAATCTTCAGAAAAGCCGATGAAGTGTATACATACAATACCGTCATTCTAACCACCTAACTAGAAAGGACATTTGTGCTACGTGGACTTCTTTCATCGAAAAAAGTTTTGGTAAGAGTAACTTACAAAAACAAATTCTTATGGGTTATTAAATAATTTAAAACTTTCTTATTTTAAATTACCTGCGTGAAGCAAAATTAGAAGGCCCAACTTGGAAGGAAGGCAGGAACCTCTGCCTATATGTATGTATTTATGTATGTACATTAGGGTGTACCAAAAACAGTAAAGTCGGAATTGTAATGGTCTCACCCCCTGGATTTTTCTATATCGAGAAAAGTATACCCCTATTTTTTATTTTGATATTGTGTGTTTGTACCGAATACATTTTCAAACTAAATAGAGGTATGATTGTACCAACTTTTCTATCACTGTAGGTAATCCAGCAGCTGATTTCTTATCACTAATTGCCCAGCTGACGCGTGTGTGAACACCAAACTCAATGCCGCAATTTAAAGCTTAATTGCCTCAACTAATTGGCCTGTTTGAACATAGTCTAAGTATGAATACTTATTTGGGTCTAGTGAGATACTGGTAATCGATACAGCTATGAAATTTTTACAGGGGGGGGGGGGGGGGGTGAAATAAAACAAACGGCAATAACGCAAATTTGTGTTATTTCCCAATTGAATGTGAAATAACACAAATTTACTTTATTTCATTTCTCGTTGAGCAATAAGACCAACTTTTAAACTTAACAATTGAGTAATAAAGCAAAATAGTGCACATATGTAGGTAGTCACCCAGTTACATTTGACAAAAAGTAGTGCACGAACAAGTTAAATGGACGGTTTTGTAAGTATACAATTTTAAAAGTGCCCTGCGTCGCGGCGGTCCACGTTCGCGCGCCGCCCCGCGTTCGACGTCGCGCTCGCGTCTCTCACGCCACTCCCCACCTTTCGCAATTAAGCACTGGTGGCATTATAAAAAAGAAAAATAATAAAATAACACTAGTTCATTTCTGAAACTGCTTTTTGTTATCCAAGTAATAGGAATTATTGTGTATGGTGTTATTGCATGCATCCCACCCACAGTGGAATTTACCAGGTGCTACTGCCTTATTTGAAAATTTGCCTATAAAATGTGACTATAAGGCAGCCGAATGTCAGAAAATAAAGCCAGAAAGCCGTTTTATTACTTCATCTGGTTATTGCGACATCGTTCCATGCAAATATTTAAGGTTTTCCAGCAATGTTTTCAACACATTTAAAAAAGCAAGCTGATAAAATTCCTGCAAAAGCGCTTTGTCCAATTTGCTGAGCAGTTATTAAAGACGACTCCTCTTTTCCTATATTTTGGTAGACTTTTCATAAGTAAAAATATTTTGTGAAGAATACTTTCTTCATATGAATTATATCACACCTTTTGTTTAATTCAAGGCCTATCAAACAAGTTTAGAGCTTTTGAACAAAAACATTTGCGTGTATTTTGTTGTTGTTGTAGCGGTTACTAAGCCCCGCTCGGGGTCGGTTCATCCGTCAACGTTGTCGTCTGTTTCAGCTAAGGGGAGACCCAGGAAGTGTGCGACTTCCACAGGGTCTGTCCATAAGGACAAGGGCGTCAGCTGGGTGGGGTTCTCAGGGCATGTGAAGAGGTGCCGAGTCATGTGGCGACTCTCCACATGCCGGGCATTGGTTGGGCACATCCTCATTAATTCTGGTTAGGTATGAGTTGAGCCTGCTGCAATAGCCAGAGCGAAGTTGGGCTGTTGTGGTGCGGGTCTCCCGAGGCAGACAAAGTTCTTTCCCGTCCACGTCCGGTGGTTGTGTGCCCAGAACGGCATTCACAGGGCGGGAGTCTAAGAAGAGGTTGTTTAATGAACCTCTGGACTTCGTCCGTCAGTTCGTAAAGATGCCTCCTGACGTGCCTTGGCGAGGGCTCTTCTGCAAGCAGCTGTCTGCTGGGATGGCCACGTCTGTGGCTACCGACAAGGAACTGCTTGCAGATCATTATGTTATGCTCTTTGACTGGAAGCATCTGGGCCTCGTCGTGTAGGTGGTGTTGGGGCGTCATCAGGAGGCATCCGGTCGCTGTTCGTTGTGCCGTGTTTTGGCAGGTCTGTAGCTTTACCCACTGCGTCCTGCTAGTCCCAGGCGACCACACGAGCGCTGCATAGTTTAGAACCGGCCAGCCAATTGCCTTGTATGTTGCCAACAACGTTTCTTTATCTTTGCCCCAAGTGCTGCCGGCCAGCGACTTGAGGACATTGTTTCGGATCTGTACTTTATTGGCAATTGCGGTTGTATGCGCCGAGAAGGAGAGCAGACTGTCGAAGGTAACTCGAGAATTTTCGGGTTATTCACCGTCGGTATTGTTACGCAATCAACGTGAATACCGAGTTGCAGTCTGACCTCCTTCGTCCAGGTGGTGAATAGGGTTGCCGAGGATTTCGCAGGGGATAGGGCAAGACTCCTTGCAGTAAAGAAGCGAGAAAGTTCGGTGAGATAACCATTTACTTTCGAGCACAAGTCATCAATTCCATTCCCAGACGCCATGATCGAACAATCGTCAGCAAAAGAGACAATATTGACACCCTCTGGAGGTTGAGGAAGCTTAGAAATGTAATAATTAAACAGTAGTGAGGACAGGACACCACCCTGTGGTACCACCGGTTTAATTTTACGTGGCTTGCTGGTTTTGTCTCTGAAAATTACTGACGAATGTCGACCACTCAGGTAATTCGCCGACCACCGTTTGAGTCCCTGTGGGAGAGAGGAGGCCTCTGTCTTCTATCAGCGTTGAATGACTGACAGTGCCGAACGCTTTGTTCTTCACAGGGGCGGTTTCGGTTAACCCATTAGTGCATGAAGTTCCCTGGCGCTATACTTACCTTTTTTTTATCATTATGCATTGAAATAAGTCTAATAAAGTAGTTTTAATTCGATTTATTAAAAAAAATGTGTTTTGGGGGTTTTGGGGACCGTCCCTTATAAGGGACACTATGCAGTATGGGCATTTGAAGTGTGATATTGCTTGAAGCATTCTTTCGGATGAAGCCCTTTCTCGCACTTAGTACATACAAAGTTAGACTTCTTTCCGCAATAGGCACATCTCTTATCCGTATTCGAGTACTCAATCATATGGTTTTTTCCATCGTAGCGCGCATCAGGGTTGATGCTGGTTCTACTCGATCCTCTTGAGGACGGCATTCCGTATCTCTCTAGATACGAATTGGCTATGTACCTGCGAAAAATTAGCAGAGTGCCACAATTTGGGTCGTTCGGATGAACTTTCCGCATAAGGATCCATGCGTTTACGATCGATGCGTCCAACAAATATGCAAATATGGGCCACCACCACTTACGCTGTCTAATTCTAGACCGGTACACAGCCACCATCTGGTCCATTTTATCAACGCCTCCCATGCCTTGATTATAGCGCTGAAGAAGTTTCGGCTGTGGTATCTGTATCGCACCTTGCCCTCTCGCGTAGCGCTTGCACGTCCCGATATCGATGGTATCAAAGTTGGAGCCAATGGTGACCACATTATTATCTTTCCATCTTACAACGAGAATCTTGCCATCCATCGTCAGTAAAACGAAAATCGCTGGATCCTCGCTGCTCCTTTTTCATGGCGGCTATTTTACGAAGAGGACACTTCTCTATGCGACCGTCTCTAATTGTACCAGATGTACAAATCCCCATACTGGCCAAATTGCGCAACAGTTTCACGGACGTAAAATAGTTGTCGATGAAAAGCTATAATGTAAATTATATTATTATTGTAATATCATATGACGAACATTTCATTTCTTACCTTGAATCCCTTATGGTGTGGTACATTTGCTTTCGTGAGGAGATCAACCACTTTGTCACCTCCTACTCCATATCCTTGTGGGACGCTCTCTGCATTTTTGCCCATATACACATCGAACTGAAGCATATATCCATCGCTGGAATTCAGAGCCCAGTTTTTGAATCCAAATCGAATGGGCTTACCACGGATATATTGTTTAGCATAGTGCCTACCATAATACGGTATCATGCTCTCATCAATGGAGAGATTCTCGTCCATTCCACCATGCTTTAGAAACGCCTCGTTCAGGTGAGTAATTAGTGGCCTAATTTTGTAAAGCCGATCGGTACCCTGGGCTTGCGTGTTGTCATTCAGATGGAAATTATTTAGAATTTTCTCAAATCGATTCAGCCTCATGCTGTTCGCTAGCAATCTTGGCGAATCAGATTTCTCCGACCAATACAAACGTTTGTTGGGGTATTTTGCGTACCCCGACATCAAAATACCGCCAATAAAAACTCTCGCCTCGTCCATACTCATTCTCAGGTCAACATTTTTCTGAAGAGCATATAAATTTGTCTGCTCAACACAAAAATTTATGATGCCTTCAGAAAAAAAATAGCTCAAAGAAATCAGTAGGCGAACTGGCGGCTTGAGCTTCGGCACTCGGCGGTATTGTTTCGCATTCCGTTTGTATGTCGTACACCGGGTCCACTTTTCGCCAACGCAAGGCATTTCCCGCACGCACACTCGAACTGACGGTTTTTCTGTATTTAGCCAGTGGCTCATCGTCACTGTCACTCCAGTCATCGAATTCGTCTTGGATCTCGCCTTCCGCAGTCAATAATTTCGGGCCGAGATGATCCAAGTTCGCCTCGTGTTCGTCATCACTACCGTCCGAATCCTGGTCGGTCTCATTTTCCTCCAATGGTGGGATTGCAAAAATGTTAAGTTCTTGCAACTGACCATCAAAAGCTTCGATCTCTTCCAGTATTTCAGCTACTGTTAGTCTGTAATAAAATATTATTGTTGTAATAAAATATTATTGTTAACTGTCCTGTCTGCATAGCGTCCCTTATAAGGGACGTTGGATAAATAACGGTATTATTCACAAATTACAATATTTTTATCACTCACAACCACTTAAATTTGTTTATTACAATAAATTTAAGATAATTGCATTTAAAATTGTTAAATAATTTCACCTGTATTTATTTGTTATTCACATTTACTTACCTCCCACGTGTTCTGATATTTTTTTTTAGTTTTTGTTCCATATTTCGCAAAAAAAATCACACAATTTAAAGTTTACTGCACTGCAATCAATCACAAACTGGTTTGGTGTAATGTCAACAACTATACCATCAACTTACATGAGATCTGTATTGCAAAATGGGAGAGTAAGAGAGCAAAAGCTGACCGTCCCTTTAAAGGGACCTTATGCACTAATGGGTTAAGGCCACGAGTTATCTGAGTGAAAAGGCGGCCGAAATTGCAAAAAATGCAACGACAATTAGTCCCAGTAGGAAATGTAAACTTACCATGGACGAAGCCTTCAGGCAGCTAAAAGACGATCTTTTCGCAAACTGGTATGAGAGTTTTAAAGTCTACT